ATCGGGTGAACCACGAAATACTGCTTCGTAAGCTGTACAATTTTGCTGTCAGAGGCCTCGTGCTTGATTGGATTGATGCGTTTCTCCAACAACGGACTAGGTCGGTTCGAGTCTCCGATTCACTGTCCGCTCCTATCGCCGTTTCCCGCGGAATCCGCCAGGGTTCTGTGCTTGGTCCAAGACTTTTTCTCTTGTTCATAAACGACATACCAAACGTCTTAGGACCAAAAACACTATTGTTTGCAAACGACGTCAAAATCTGGAAGACAGTGACAGAAATTGGGGATTCGCTGGAACTCCAGGAAACACTGAATGCACCTCGCAAATGGTCTATTGAGAACAACATCCAATTTAACGTCTCCAAATGCAAGGTGATTTCGTTGCGTCACCATGAGCGGTTTCCTTATTTCCTCGGAAAGGAACTATTGCCTTGTGTCAACAGAGAAGGACTTGAGTGTTATAGTCCACGAAGATCTGAGCTGTTCTGATAACTGCGCCAGGGCGTCATCAACCGCACTCAAACATGTCGGTCTACTTAAACGTGTTTTCGGTCGTTTTGAACCATCGTTATTCTCACGTCTGTTGTCAGCATACATCCGGCCGCATATTGAGTATGCCATCCAAACTTGGAACCCCTGGTTACGACGTGATCATAAGATTTTGGAACGTCCACAAAGGCTCGGCATGAAGATGGTCAAAGGACTTTATCATGAGTCATACATGGAGAGAATGCAGTTGTTTGGTCTCTACTCTGTTCAGTATCGTCGGATTCGAGGAAACTTGATTTTGATGTACCAAATATTACACAGCCCAAACCACCCTTGTCGCTGACTTCTGACGTTGTCATCAAACGATCATCTACGGGGACATCCATTCAAGTTGGTACTCTCGACTGGACTACCGACGTCATTCGTTTGCCGTCAGAGTGTGCACTGCCTGGAATTCCCTACCAGCTCATGTTGTATGTGCCGAGAAGATTGATTTTTTCAAGGTGAAACTTGACGAATTATTAACACACATTGCATTCCAACATCCATGAGAACACAAAACAACCAAATGCAGCATATGGAAGTTCGTTCATCACTGTAACAGTTCAACTCGTTTTAACACTCTATGGGACAAGAAAAGCATCTGCTTGTAAGTAATGCCCATAATAAAACTTTGACTTTGCCTTTGGAGGTCATGAGGTTGTACCCTGCCATCACCACCACCACCAGTGGCCATCTTCATCGTTTCTGTATTTACTCGGAGCATGGCCACGGCTCCTATCCGGAGAACTAACTACTGTACAGACTTCTCAAACCCAATAAACCAAGACAAGAAGTGAATTTTCACATTGAAAACAAACTCACGCGTTGACAACTCCTTGTCCTTCCTGAACTGTCTGCACAGCGTGTTCGCAACTGCTGAAAAGCCTTTATTCAGTGAATTTATTAATTAGTAATCCGGTGAACGCTTGTCATTTGCCTTGTGTTCGGGCTTTTACGTGTGGAACTCAACACGGAACAGGATACACAATTTTGTGCATTTTATTTTCATTTTCACTTCTTGTTTATTGAAAATAGAATTTTCACTAAGTTGAAAGTGACCAATCAAATAGCTGCCAAGCTAACAAGAAAAGTCAGCCAAGGATGAGGGATTCAAACAAACGTCGTTTGAGAGGAACATTTGTCGGCCTTTACCACCGGACCAACACCGCTTATCTTGGTTGGAAACGGGTTTTTTTTTCATACACGTCACGTAAATCGCACATTGTTCGTGAAAAATGTCAAGGATTCAAAATTAACTAAATGCAAATGTGGTCAAAAATAATGCTCCATTTCCAAATGCAGACGAGCGCCAGTCCTCGGTGGGATTGATGTGCGGCTAGGTTGAAGATACATCATCCATACGTTAGGCGGTAATCACTTCGTGTTAGCAACACACCTCATTGGTGCGATGACGGTCTGTCTCCCCCCCCCTCTCCGGGTACCTCGCAACGAACGATTTCACTCGGTCATCTGACCATGTGAACATGGATTGATCTGGTTGACTGTGTGCGGTCCAATTCGATTGATTCCACTTTTCCCACATAAGTCTGAGAATGCAGTCCACTGACTATTTTTGGTAGCCATTCTTTGTGAACGTTCCAAATCTTCCAATCTTTTTGCAACCACACTTGAACGGCTTACTCTATTTGAGGTTCAATATAGGTAGGCTAATAACAATTGTGGAAACAGTATAAGTTAAAATTTCCCAACTACTCGCACATCTTGCAGTGATGGACGAAAGGGCTGGAGCAGTTCAAAGAACAACCTAAGTCGTTTGGAACAATGACACCGAAGTTCATTTCACTCAAGGCATATGAGAGTTGTTGAAATTGCAGGAAAAAACGAACACCGAGTCCTATGGATAAAGGATACGACTGTACATTTTTTGACGAGTTGAATTCGATGTAATGTTTGACTGACCATTGATAAGCAGCACAAAGTGCCCTCAGAAGTGTCCGTGAGTCCTCAGCTTTCGTCGCTCTTTTCCCAAGGAGGGACAGGAAACGTAGGAAACACCATTCTTGATCATCTGCCGGATACATACATACAGGCTATCAAGTTAGATAACAATCCGCTTTCAGCGTAATCTATCATACACCCCCAACCCCTCTAAACCAGTGCGCTTACACACACTAGCCACCGTTGCGGCGATAGGCATTCGTCTTCTCGCACCAGAACTGGGTGCACAAAAGCGACTGGTTCAAGCTGTTTACTTACTGCGGCTCCAAAATTAATCATCAACAGCATCACCACCCCTCCAGTCATAATCAATCCCACCCGAACACGGATAGATGCACATAGCAATTGCCCCGCTACTCTTCTCTCTGTATCCCAGCGTGAAAATGTGACCCCATCAACAACAAAATCTTTGTATGACATTTTAATCACGAATATTAACCATTCGAACACAACTATTCGCCTTCGGACTCCAGGTTCTGAAATTCTTATATCCAACCTAGTATAGGTCCTGGAATTCCATAACTGTGTAGTTTTGTTAGTAGTATGTTGTAGTCCTCTTCGTCAAATGCAGAATCACCGTGATCAACTGCCTCTGTCCACTTTTCTCGGCAAACGATCGTCTGCAAAATACCCCAAGTGGTACCGGGGTATAAAACCTTGTTTATTCAAATGCGATGGAAATGTTTTGTGATAACCGACAAAAAGCACTGGACAACTGTTTCTTTCTGTTTGAAACTCGTCACCAGTGCGTATCTTTTGTCCCTGTCAGGACTCGAACCGCGATCCAAGCTTAATACTCTAAACTGACTTATTTCATTGTTTTCAACAATTGAGTTCATAACTATGGATAATACGGGGAAGACCGTAACGAAATGGTAGTTAGCTGGGTCACCGGGGCAGCCACCATTGTACGCTGGTGAAATTATTCATTTATTCCACGTTTGTGGGAGCACAGTTTTGTCGAGCATACTTTGGAATAGTTCACCTAAGGACTGTTCTATGTTACTTACAAGGTTGATACGGTTTGGTGGATGGATGCTATCTGTTCCCGGAGATGAATTCCTTATCAAACACTGCTAGTTTGATACTTTGATTTCTAGGGAAAATCAATTTTGGTGAGCGTTTATTATGATATTTTTTCGAAGAAATAGAGACAGTTGTAGTCTGGTGTTAGCGGGAGCGTTGAACACTCGAATGTATTGATTTTTTCAATAATTTAGCTGCCTTGTGTGTTTTCATTTAGAAAAACATCCTGCCAATCTTGGCGCTTGACTTTTGGTTTGACTTTTTTGGACCACAGTCTGAAATAGAATATAAACGTGCGCATCCGCATTTCTTGGTACATCAATTTGTCTTATCGCACCAACTTGGTGCAGTTGTCACTAAATATATATACAGTAGTTACACCATGTGTTGTTAGAATGAAATCCTTTCTAAGCTTTTCATGCGATATCACTGTACAAAAGCACATCTCTGTTTGACTGTGAACCACTGACAAGGTGTTCGATCTTGGTCACGCCGTTCATCATTTCCATGAGGTGATTTGTAAAGTCTTGTCAAGTTTAACCCAGGGATTTCACTTCTCATAGGGCAATGCAATTGGAAATCTGTGGTCAAAATGCACAGTATGCATGTATTCACACGTTTGTGTGTTAGAAATCTTTCTCATCATCAATTCCTCGTTAGCTAACACTCAGTCGAAAAAAAGACTGTTCAACTCCTTCACAAAATTGTCACATGGATAGGATTTCACAAATTGTGCAAGTTTTGCTCTCAAACGGTTATATTGCGGTCACTGATCTAGCAAGATTCGGGCAATCGACATGGCCCCCGTAATGAGGAAATGCATGAACTTCTGTGACAGAAAGTGATACAGTATGTGTAACACACTATCTCACTGTCTGTGTTTGTGGATGAAGCAGAGCGGTACACCACATCGATCAAGCAGATATCACATTGGGACAGTCACACTTCGCACTTCGGAGCCAGAAGCTGCAGCTGAATAACCAATTACCTCGCATTTTAGTTTATCACCAAAGTAGAGTAATAAACCGTCAGACTGGTTTCTGTTGTGATAGACGTTGAGCGTGGATGCTGCTGCCCTTGTACAATTCATCCCGTTTACTCACTAATCGATGACCGCTTTTTCCAACCATTGAGCGAAATTCGTTTTCACAATTTTAACACATTTCAACAACAGTAACGCAATCGGAATGTCAGACTGTAGGGTATCTCACACTCTCATTTGGCACATTTTGGTTAGTAAATGCTGAATCCATCGTTTCGCACATAGCGCTAGCGAATACTACGGTCTGCTGGTGAAGACCGAAACATGCATGCGTGGTTTAGTCCAGCGAGTACTCCTTCCGGTGGCTCAAATTGTGTCACCATAGTTTTGTTCGCTAAATTGATGGGATTGCTTGTCTCTCTCACTCACACCGATTCTCTGCGTTCATTTCAGAAGGCCATGGGCGTCGAAGCTCCTCCATTCGGGCCCATCAATTTCACCAAATGTCGGAGTTCCACCGTGAAATCGGTAATATGGCTTGGCGTAAGCAGAATCTGAATAGCGCATTGGAAATGTACAATATGGCTCTACGATTTGCGATGAATGATGAGCAAAAATCGTTCGTCTACGCCAATCGTTCATTGATATGGGCAACTAAGAAAGCTCATGTGCACGCGTTGAAGGACATACAACGAGCGTTAAACGTAAGAATTTTCATTTTGTTTCGGATATTCTACGGTCTTGCAGGTGGAATTGGTAAGTATCAAAATGGATACAATTGTGAGACATAATACGCAATGTGTTTCCACTCACCTACAGATAGTCATCAACTAGAAGATGTTTCCGTTGTGACCACTAATCAGTGAACTATTATACAACAACTTGCGACAATAAAAACGTTATTCTCGTGATATATCCCATTTTATTTTAAAAGCTGGATTGGAAATTGCCTGGTTACATGAAGCCCAGGTAGTTTTAAGCAACGATCGTCGGAATCCAATACTGGACTAACTATCAGAGATATATCGTGTATCAAACGGAACGTAATTCGTTTGGGGTGCTGCACGACGTGATCCGTTGAAATGCATAATTATGGCCATTTCTCTGCTTGTTGTTGTTGTTGTTATTGTTGTTGTTGTGACTCAAACAAAGTTTGTCATCTGGGCAACATCGCTTTCATGTTCCGTTTTGGTTGTCTGCTCCATGCTCGTTTATTTCGTACACTAGCTTGTCGCTTAAGTTCACATTCGATTTCAGATTCACGTGATTGAGAGCTCCCAATGATCTGTACCTCAGAGTAAGGGCATTCGCTTGGTGCTTGAATGAAGCTGACTTTGCCTGCTATCACTTGCGAATACACGCACGGGCACTAATTGATCTACAATGGTCATCAATACCACAATCTAAGATCCTATTTTTGAATATTTCTCACGGCCGTGTCCGTCAGATCCAATCAGAACGCGCATGAAACGTTGTCATGCTCTAGATTCGTCTGATAAAAACAGACATTGTTTCAGGTGTCTTGAGTTATGAAAAGATTGTAGAACTCAGGCATTGACAGGATCTGCGCTTTTTGCACGGCCTACGCTTCACCAGATGTGCTACGAAGCCACAGTGATAGCATTAGTGCTTTCACTACATCCGACCAAAAAACTCGCTCTCTCGTTGTCCCTCAAACCGATTGGCTGACCGAATGCAATCTGCATTTATCTGTGTGTTGAACAGGCCTAGGTAAATGAAAAACGAATCCCGATCGCGTCACAAAAGGGTTGAGTCAAATGCAACGAACGTTGAGCTTTGTTTCATTTTTCCATTTTTCATAACGAGTACGTTGGCTATTTTGTCCTCAAAAACTTCAACATTTGTTTTTCAGAATTCTCACCGTCTATATTAATCCACTCTCGGATCAAAAATCATTGATATTTCTTGAAGTAACTAATCTTCTTGGTAGTATTGACTATCTGGTTGCTATCCGGGTTCAAATGTGAACTGCTCGCAGGTCAAAGCATTGTTTTGATGCCCTAAAATAATAATCGTTATTTTCTTTAAATATGATACATGCACCTTAGCATTATCATGCTTTTTAGAATAGCCCTGATGTGGCCATCTGATTCCCTTTTTTCGTTTAAGTTACCGTTCTAATGAACGAACAGAGTTCGGGCCATGCACGCCATCTACTGGAGAGAGAGACTCTATTGTGTAAGGGCGTTGCTCAAGAAGGCATTCGACATCTGCGCAGAGTTTCTGTCGTTAATCCACTGACCGAATTAGATGATGCCAGTAGTAGTAGTTCCCCTCATCGGGTCCTCCATCTAAAGCAAATATTTTTATAACTTGTTTCAACTATGCATCTTCTAGTATTTCATCGAGAGGACTGTTTAAGTGTTCGTTTCGTTCAATTAAAGAGCCATTTTAGTTTTGGTAAATGACTCACAGCGTTTGGGGCGATCCGTTGCAACCTGCGATGATCGTCTAGCGGTAGGTTTTCTCTGGTGCCCACTCCGTTTATGGCCGGTTTGTGATTTTTATATTCTTCACTTATCTTTTTATAATGGATGAGGAACTATTACAAAATATGGTTATATTGTGTACTAAAATCAATCTCACAAATGTTTCTCCATATCAGTAAACGTCTTTCAATGCGCCATAGTTGACATAACCTTTTTTTATTACACACCATTGTGTGATGAATTGCCGACGGATCGGACCCCGTAGTCACGAAAACCAGCTGTGAGGGGATAGTAGGCCGGCAGTCTAAACCCCGAGCGAATCACATAAGGCCCCGCTAGCTCAGGCGTGGAATAAAACCACGAGAAAAGCAAAGCTGCCTACCACGAAATTGGTGCGTCTTGAAATTCGGAGCATAGCTTCTAAAGCACGCCGGAGACAGATATTAAACCATTGCACCACCACCACCAACACCAATAATAACATATACTAACTATTTTGCTTGTCTTTGTTCTCCCAAGATGATTAGGAATGACATCACCAGGGTATTATATGATCGTAGCTTATATCAGTCTGTCGATCACTGAGTTACCGAGATTGCCAGCTGTTACATTAAAGTACCTTCCTATCTGATATTGAGCCGAGCCATGTGTGTAAAGCTTGCGGGGCGATATACTTATGTAGGGATACACATTGTGTTCTTTTCGTATATTTTCGTTGAAATAACATATTTTGGTCAACTTTTGTATTTTGATTATCTATTCAGTTATCGAATAGGCAGAATTTCAGAATGTTCGTATGAAGCAGAGGAAAGTTGATCCGACAATCCAATGGGATGTAGTAGTTTTATCGCGGTACTTTTTAGATTTCCATACAGAACCCAAAGTTTGACCTTATCTTCCCTGGCCACACAAACATATCTATCCAAGCTCGGAACAAGAAGCATACAACACAGGAGTTGAAATTCTGTGTGTTTTGAATGCACAACTTGGGAAAATATTTTCTGGATGCCGCAGAGTACCATCGATGGGCACGTGTTGAAACGGAACGATGTATCGATGTCATAAGTGTGTGCCGAATCCAGTACGGAATTCAAGTAGGGGATGAAAATGGGGAGAGGAAAAGTAAGGTTCGGTTACGAATACTTGATTGAAAAAAGAGAGCATCGATGAGACAATAGGATCACTATGACCTTACATTCACATATACCATTTTCCCTTTCAAAAGGTATTTTTTCTATCTGAGCCGCATATCTGCAAAGGGATTGGTAGTGTTTCGGAGTGTTTGATCAATGTCAAGATGTCTACTAAACTATGGGATAATTCGATCCACCCCATTCTTCTCCCGAGAAACGGGTCTGTTTACAGTCTGACATGTTCTGAACTCAGGTATTTTTTATTTGCATATATACGGCAGAGTAACTATCCGGAACCACGTCGATTTCGCCTAATCCTTCGTCGTGCTCAATGTCTGCTAGCCATTGGAAGAATCAAGGAGGCCAGAATGGATTTTCTCACAGTTAAATTACAGGTGGATAACTCCACTGCGGAGCGTTCAGTGTCACAAGCGATTGAGGATGGTCTAGCACAGTGCGATAAAAATGCAGCTGAACGTCGTGTCCCCGTGGATGGCAAACTGGATCCGCTTAATGGTGATTATTGGGACAAGTTTGGTGAACTGCCGCCACAATTGTTCTCGGTTCAACGTGAACGCCGAAATGCGAGACGCGCTTCGAGGGCGAGGCGTTCTTTACCGTTCTCAATCACTTACGGCGGAAAGACTCGCGGTTGGCAGTTAGTTGCAACTCGCGATATTCGACCGGGTAAGTTCGAGGATGGCGGTTTTCTATCCAATCGGCACAAATTAAGTTGCTCCTCCCTGTTGAGAATTTACATTGGTTATGGGCCTTGACTGCATGTTTATTGAAGTTTCATTGGCTTGTTTGAATTCCTGGAATGTATCAGCGGCACAAAGTGAATGAAAAAGCGATTTAGCAAACAAGCTTATTTCGGTGACTCATCTAATAGTTAATACATTATATTTTATATTAAATCATTTTATATGGAAAAAGGGAGCAAAATGGGGAATTTTCAGTTGTTGTTTTCTGTCTCAATTTCAAAAAAACCCGATATGACTGATCCTATCACTAGACCTTATGCTTGATCCGTGTTATCTAAGTGACTTCGAGTGCGTTTGGGAGGATGAAATGGATAAGAATGAGAGACGGAGGGCCATGGTAGGCTGAGTAACTTCATGAATAGTTTTTGAGCGCACAAACGCGGATTATGTAGACGAATTCCAACTGCCTCTGCCGTGGCTAGGATGCGGTTTTCAATCGGCTTCTAGCTGCGACCCCGAATAGAGTAGGCAGGTCTAAAAGCTTCAGTCGCACCGTACATGTGATTGGACTCGACGGGGTGTGGAATGAAAGGACTTGTAGTGGTTTTAACCACACTAGTGTTCCCCCAGGCTGGATATTGCTGATGATATCGGCGCCAGCCGATATACGTTGCTCCACAGGTGGTATGTCCCCAAATTATGTTTTGCGCAGCTTATATCCATTGCCTACTATTAGGTCGCATAGCGCTATATCCCAGGTGAATACCACAAGTGCAAAGAACATAAGATATAGTACAGTAACAATAGCAGCACATGGGAACAGCGGAATAGCACTAAGTCCATGAGTGGATGATAGTTCTAGGAGTAGAAGCTACCTAGGAGAAACACAGGACGAACGGTCGGTTATCGATCTCTCAGTCCTCCCAAAAACAGGTAGGAGAAGACACGACTTCAGCAGCATGGGATTTTAATGGCGTTGAGCACAAATCACAAGGCACGAGTCATGAGTCAATCC